CATATTTGAGGTCACCCCCAGGAACCATTAAGATTGACACTTAGTTCGTGAAAATCCGATCATTAGAACGAAAGTTATTCAGGGTGATTCGTTTTTTTTTTGCGGACTGTACAACAAATAATAAGAGTAATACTATTTTATAGAGCGGTGATGGCTCAGGGGATAGAGCGTTCGCCTTCCAATGAGGTGAACTGGGTTCGAATCCCAGCGATACGATTCTGGTCGATACGAATTCCGCATCCGACTTGCACCGATTAGAGTGCTGACGTAAAAATATCCTCAGTGGTAGCCGGGTCATGATTCAGCGTTCACTTGTCGTCACGCTAACCGAGGGAGACTTTCTTGGTTTTCCTTTTAATGTGACGAAAATGCGGTTTAGTTCCATCAAAAACTCCTCCACGAAGGCAAATTTCTCCCAATACTTGATCCAGCAGTTCCCTTGTCTTCTGGATTGGGTTCAAAATTACAAGGCTACGTATTTGAATATTAGCACTCGTAAACTCGAAAATTGGGTCGGTTGTTCAGCAACTTTTATAAAATATAAAATAAAAAAATACTATTCTATAATTAAAACAAAATTAAGCATGGAAGAAGGCTTTTTTGTACTAACCTAATTTTTATATCTTTAAAAGTTTCAGAAACATTACGGAAACTTTTTGCAATCATTAGTTAACTTCTTCAATATAATGTCTCATACATGAAATATTCAGGGATAAATAGTTGATAAATTTAAATTTTGAAGTTTTAATTAAAAATAAACGAAATAATTAATTGAAATCTATCATTAATGTTACTCCATATAATTGTTAGTGCTGAAATTAGTTTAATTTGTTATTGTATATATATTTATACACAGATTTACTTTTTAGAAAGGAAAATTGCCCGATTATTACAGTCAGTATCCAGAGCATTTGAATTTGGAAGAAGTTATCAAAAGGTGTCACAAAGTAAATGCTAATTATCTCGCAAATACTGCAAGCAGAATAAAAGGAAAATCTCCAGTTAGACGTAAGTTAAATTTTATTTAAAGTGTAAATTAATTAATTCAAAGCTGATCTCCCCAAGTATTATGGTTTACCGAATATTCTGACTTTCAAAATTATAGTTCTTACTACCTTATATTTAGTAAAAAGCGGAAAAGTAAATGAATGCGAATGAATATTTTTTATGCAATGCTGTTAGGCATCTTGATAAAGTTATCGAATATTGCTATATTTAGCAAATTTTTATTGCATATTTAAAATCTTATTTTATTGCTAATTTTACTTAAGTAATTTTAAAGCACTTTGGCAAAAATTACCCTGCTTTTAGGTTTATACAACAGAATAAAACTTTAAAAGGGCGTAGCAAGGGAAATAAATAAAAACATTACAAACTGTCGCTCATCTAATAATGCATTAGCATTAAATCTCCATGCTTTAATTATTAAAAACATAATTTTCAATAGGATCTATCAGGAAAATAATTTAAGTTTAAATTTCAATTATACAGCTAGTAAGAAAAAAACTCAAACAACTATCATTTACTAATGAAATATTAAAATTTTATCGTTGTAACAACTATTACGATAAGTTTTGTCTGTCAAAATCATTCTGCATCTATTATTGTCAATGTTTTACAAATTACCTCATAATTATGAAACTGCCAGTGTTTTTTTACCAGTTAAATCTATTTCTAATTTTCAAAGTATTATGACACCATATCTTTCAGTAGTTTGATTATTATAAAAATATCCTTCATTAATTTAAAAATTGCCATTAATAGCCAGTTTTTAATAATCTGAGAACTATATTTGTGGGTTCTTCGATATTTTTGAATTATATTAATGTATTCTTCGATATTTTTGAATTATATTAATGTATTCCTCGATATTTTTAGCATTATTAATATATTCTTCGTTATTTTGAGAATTACAAACACATATATTTCTAGAATAAAGATATTTTACAAGTTTACCAGTAATGATGACATTGAATATCTTAAGCTCTTAGCAAAAATGTGTAAGGTAGGTTTTTTTTAAAGGAAATCATAAAAAAACATATGGCCTTACATATAGCTATTCTTTACTTTTTGAAATAATTTCTATATACGATCATTTAATGCATATTTTAGAAAGTGTTTTGAGTTTTGGAAAAATAAACATAAGCTCTTTTCCTGTAACTCAGGCAAACTTTATGAAACACGCATTTCATTTTCTTAGCAGAAAGCAAATCTTGTTATGATATTCTTATGATTTTAACTCGTAATTATTAAGAAATTTGAAAACAAAAGATTCGGAGAAAAGATGGAAACTAAGCCGTTAAAATAAGGACTTAGTGTAGAAAAGACCAGCAAAAAGTTCTCGTAATATTGAATTTTCTTCAAAATAGCGTAAAATTCAAAACTGGAACATATAAGAAGCTTATACTTTAAAAACAAGTTTTCTAATATAATTGGCATTTTATTTCCTAAAATAGCAATGTTTATGAGACATTAAAAAGCTTTATGTATGAAAATTCCACATTTAAATTTATTTCTTGTACTTAAGGATTTTATTTACCGAAAGTTAGGTACATTTCAAAATCAATTTTCGTTGAATAAATTTGTATATCTTAATTTAGAGCTAATCGCTTCACTTTTTGAAAATGAATATTTGATGTTTATTTCTGTTATAGTACATTTTTATTAGAATGCTTATTAAAAAAATGTTTCCCCTAAATCTAAATTTAATTTTGTTTATATTTTCACATCAAACTACAGATCTAATTTAATGGTTCAGCAGCAAGTATATATATGAATTGATTTAAATGTTTATTTTGGAAAAAAAACTGTTTATTATCAATATTTATGCGTTTTTCTTAATTAAAATTTCATATGGTCTGTCTTTGGTTTTAGAACCAATTTCACACCTTTTGACGTCACTCATTTTGACCAGGTTTTTACTGTTTTTAACAATTTTTCCACTTTTATACCCTATTTGAATAAATGAGCATCGCAGACTTTTTTTTTGCTTCAAACCTTTTGTTTTCAAACCACAGTGCTGATGTAAAATATCCTCAGACGGATCATGGGTTAAAGTCCCCTTGCCATCAGGCTAACCATGAGAGATTTCGTGGTTTTCCTCTCCATGCAATGCAAATGGAGTTAGTTCCATCAAAAAGTTTTCCACAAAGGCAAATTTCTCCTAATACTTTAAACAGGAACGAGTGGTTCTATTCTATAAGACAAATAATGCACATTCAAATCATATTAGTATTTTGCGAAATTTAATAAATTCAAAAACTTACCCTTTAATTCATCAATATGCACGTTACCTTAATTTATATTTTAGCAGCTAAATGTTTAATTTATTATGTTGATAACAAAATTAGAAACAGTTTATAAACTACGTCTCCAAACATAAGAATTTAAAAAAAAAAGAAATTAAGGATAAATATTTATTACTATTTTTGTCACGAAATTCAAATTTATTTCCTTACAATTCATTAATAAGGATTTTTTTTTAGATATTAAAAAATGGAATACTATGAAATAGTATTTCTGAATCTTACACGCATAATTTGTTGTATAAAATTGTGGTAGTTCATTTAGTTTGTTTCCAAACGCAATCATTTCAAAATATATTTCCTTTAAACTTTAAAATGTTCTTCAATTTTTTTGGGTGACGGCCAACTAAGAAATGCTTGTAACTGGCACCTGTGAAATTAATGGACATAATTTCATATATTTTTAAATTTGTAGAAACACAGGGTAGTTATTAAGAAACTTCCTTCATATATGCACTTTTAGCGATCGTTTTAATAAGTAATAAAAAAATTTTTTTTTATTCAAAATATTGGTCCAGGATCTTAATGATCAATAACAATATTAAGCTCTAGCTGTGACATGGAATTAATTTTGAAAGGCAACACCCATTTTTGTTTTTCCTGAATATTACTCTCATGATTCTCGAATATTACTCTCATGATTCTCGAATATTACTCGTATCAAAATATTATACTTTTTGACGAGAATAACGGCGGCGCTAAATTGGGATGTACAAAAAAAGTACTTTTTGAGAGTAAATTTTTGATGGTAAACTTTTGAAAGTAAATTTTTGATGTGTTAGATGTTCAGCTTTACTGAATGCTTTTTGTCAACAGTAGCCATGGTGGCTCAGGGGATAGAGCGTTCGCCTTCCAATGAGGTGAACCAGGTTCGAATCCCCGTGAAGGCTGATCGATACGAATTCCGCATCCGGTGTGAACCGACTACAGTGCTGACGTAAAATATCCTTAATGGTAGAGGGATCATGGGTGAGAGTCCCCTTCCCCTCAAAATTGCAAGGCGAAGTTGAGTCGTAAGCCAAAAAATTGGATCGGCTGTTCAACGACGGTTATAAAATAAAATAGGAAAGAAGAGCCGCGGTTTCTCAGGGGATAGAGCATGCGCCTCCCATTGCGGTGACCCAGGTTCGAATCTCAGTAATGGTTGTTTGATACGAACTTTGCTCCCAGTTCGCACTGGTCACAGTGCTGACGTAAAATATTCTGTCTGGTAGACTGACCATGCGGTAGATTTTTCTTATCGTCAGGATACCCGTGGGTGATTTTTGTATTTATTCTTTCCATGTAACGTGAATTCGGATTAGTTAGTTCTGTTTGAAGGCTAGTTTGTCCCAATGCTTGATTCAGGAGTTTTCTTGCCTTCTGGATTGGGTTCAAAATTACAAGGATACGTAGTTGAACATTGATAGTCGTAAACTCAGAATTGGGTCTGCTGTTCAACGCCGATTATAAAATGGAATAATATAGGAAAAAAAGAAGAAACCCAATTGAAAAGAAGCAAACAAAACTCAGTTTGTGTTTTGGGTGCTTCTTTCTCTCTTCATCCCTGCATCATCGCTTTTCATGCTAAAAATAACGCTTCAATTTAATGTATTCAGTTTACCATAAAAATTATGTTTCGAGGGAAAAAAATGAGCATTTTGTTTAAAAAAATTAAATTTATTTACAGTAGCCATAACCACAATCTTCATCAGATGCCCCTACTTTCAAATAACATTTTCTGAAACTCTATCTCGATTGGTTAAGCGGGCTGTTCGCTAGGGCTCATGCAGATTTTTAATAACTAACTTGCTTGAATATAAATATTAATATTAATTATTATTGTTTAATTTTTTTAGAAACTCCACCTCCAAGTAACGAAAATCTAAGCAGTCCCAGATCTGAAGAAAACAATGTATCCAGTAAAGTAAGCTTATCATTTTATGGTCCTTCGTAGCATAAACAAAACAAGGTTTCAATTTAGAGAATCGTTGAATCTAGAGAAAAAATTAATAATCTTAAAGGGTATAATTATAAATTTAAAAAATATAGTTGTATTTAGACTGTCAAGAAATATGGATCTTCTCATTTTTAGAACACTACACTAAAAACATATCTATATAATACATTTATACTGTAGTAAGAGCATTATTATACAGATAAATACAGTATTTGGTACACTAAAGTTTAAAAACATAGTAACTGCTGAAAATAAATATAATTTACAATAAATATTTCTGCTGACTTTAAAGGAGTACACTAAACCAGATGTTGTTAAGTCTTAATAATAAGGATTTTTCAGATTTTCAGAATATCTAAATAGCAGTATTTATGTATTGTTTAAGAATCTGGTTGACTCAATCAATCTTTTTATTATCAAAAGCTTGCTTTTCCATAAGAAATTGAACTGCAAATCATCTTAAAACATGTATTTTAATTCAATAGAGCACCAAGCCATCGGTGACAGATTAAATTTACAAAAAAAAAAAAAAAACAACTTAAATTTCGTCCAATCTTTTACTGTAAGCCTATTTCTCTTAAAGCACAAGAAAAACATGGTTAAATATTTCATCATAAGCATAAATTTGAGAAAAGTCAACGACTAGCTTTGAGCCTTGATGGCTCAGTGGTTAAAAGCATTGAGCAATCATTTTGAAGGATTGGTTTCGATGGCCAGAGGAGATTGGAGGCAACATTTATTTTGAGGTAATTTTTCACCAAAAGCTTGATTCCCCATTTCTCAGAAACATTGGTCTTTAGAATAACTTTTGATTTAGTTCAACGTTTAATTACAACAATAATGCTTCTAAGAGTAGCACCATATTGGTGCAACTTGACACTATAATAGTCAGTATATTGACATTGAACCATATCTTAAGCAATATATTAAAAAAGAATAAAATAAAAATCGGGAAAATAAAGTAACTATCTTTTCAACATTTCCTTTTAAACATGTTACCAATTACAAATAATTGTTCTTAAGCTGAAAGTCGAGAAGGGCATACAAAAATATGTAATGTTCCTTTGTATATTCATTACTTGTAATGTAAGTAAAAGTGCTATCATGTATGGTAATAAGCTCGTAAATAAATATCTTGAAAAACATTAGCGTTAGAAAATAATAAATACCGATGTGCAAAATTTTTTTTCTTCCGAAAACAGAGTGTAAATGTTCTCAAAGTGATGGGGTTTTTAATTTGTTTTCTCCACAAAATTTCATTTTTGTACTTTTCCAAGTATTTTAATTCGTTTTTTGTTCCAGAAAAAACAAAATTATGATTTCTAAATGGAGAGTTTTTTTACGACATTCGTTGATTGATTTAGTACTTAATTTGCGATGAAGAATATTAATGAAGTTATAACCAAAATCAGCATAACTTGAAAAATACTGATCTATAGTGAGCCAAACATCGAGATTTGAATTTATGTTATTAATTTAATGGAGTGAGACAGCGCGAATTGAAACTCTTATTTTTAATATTTATAATGATAATATATAATTTGCTATTCATGTATCTTTATTTTTTTAAATTTTTGTCTTTTACGATCTTTCCATCTGAACAAATCGGAAAGAAGGAGAGTCATAAGTATGCTATTCAATAGAATTCAAATGTTGTTGTTGTTGTCGTAGGCCATTAAGGCAAGGGGATGCAATATATGGTCAAGAATTCGATTTCTGCCACACCATACATCACACCCGTTTATAGGGCGGAGTCATTTATACATCCATTCATTCAACCACAGATCGTAATTTTGATCTGAACCAGAGAACGATCAATCCTTAATTCAGTGCCCTTAGAGGTATAATTTCTTATGGGAACATGGAGGATTTTGTGACCCGACAGATTTAACGTGCACCAGTCACCATATACTATACATGTCTTCAGTCGGCTGGATTCGAACTTCCGTTCTCACAGACGGAAGTCTAGTAAAATTAAGATTGCATGCTGTGAAAATTTTTTTCTCAAAATTAAATGAATATGTGTCAAAATAGCTCCCAAGCATATAATAGTCGAATTTGAACAAATTTTTGAGAACTCATTTGAATTCATTCTTGAGCAAAGTGCAAGTGGAAGGAGAAATGTGTGATAGTGATTTCGTTGTGTGTCGAAAGAAGAATCTATGGGTTAGTAGTAGGATGCTCCAGCCACGAGAGTTGTACACACTAGTACAGGGATACAATGGTTGCTTCATATAATGGTTGCCGCAATGGCGTAGCTTGCGATACATATTTACAATTTATACGGTACAAAGAATTGTAGTTTGGAAAATGTAGTCCTACTAGGTTAGTTAAGGTATCGATAGTTTAAATTACTTTTATCCTTATTTTCTATGTCTTTATAACTTTTAAACGAATGAAATATATGTCAGGATGTGTCATTGCGGTGACCACTCTATAAAGCTTCCTTACTCTCCCTGGACTGGAATGTACAACTATGGTGGTTAAATCACCTTACTATACGAATCTGGAGATCCTTGAAAAGATCCTGGAGCTGGAGGTTATTCGGATGAATCCTGCCGGCAGTCAACACATTTCACACATTTCTCCCTCCATGTGCATTTTGTTCAAAAATGAGTATATTGTGTTTTCAAATTCGAAAATTAGTTATTTCGGAGCTATTTTGACACTTTTATACTTATTTTTGAGTAAACCTCTCTACAGTATATTTCGTACAATGTATTTCGGAGGTTTATGTAACATTTTCAATTATATTTCTTTTCAGTTATTAAAGTAATAAGAACATGCGAATGCAGTGCGATAACTCGAAAATTTCTTTGCTTAAACTTCTTTTTTTATCTATTTAGAGTGCATAATGATTTATTATGAAAGAAGTTTTATCTTTTTTTTTGCTTCAGAATGAAGTAAAAGCTAAGCTAACTGAAATATGCACTAAAAATATTGACTCAGCACATTTAGTGCAAAAGCGTTAAATATATCGAATTTTGTTCTTTCGCTTGCCACTGAAATACACTGAATAAGTGTAAGTATATAATCCTTTTTAATAATACTAATTGAATAATTCCCGAATCAACAAAAAAGTATTTTTTCATGACTACTGAAATCTTAAATTTAATATTGAAATTTTAAGTTTTTTATTTTTTCGAAAAACTTTATTTATTCTCATAATTATTTCTTTCATCCAATTATTTTTCAGTTTTTATGTCTTAGCTCTGTAGAAGGTATTCTAAAGTAAGCAGTTAGATGATAAAGTTTACAAAAAGAATGTAAAATTATTTAAAATTATTTAACTTATTTTTGAGTAAATAATTAACTTACATCATAAACGAATTTAAGTAAATCCATTAAAAAAAATAATTGCTGATGGTAAGCAAAATAAACTAGTTTAAATGAAACAGTTTTTATTCGTTCTAAAAATACAAAAATTTCCCATGACTTCAATTCAATTTTACGTCATTGTAAACTCAATATATACCAAACTTAAAAATTCTCAAAATCCTTATTTCTTAGCTTGTTTTTTTTTTTAAATAAACTGCTGTTTGTAGAAAATGCAACACCATGAAAGAATCATCAGAATCAAATGAAATTTAATGCAGAAACGACTTGTACTGATACAAATAAATGATGAAATTTTCAAAACAAAAGAAACAAATTAAGCGTCCGAAATCAGTATTTGGTGCAGCCACCACGCGCTGCAATAAGTGCTGCTATACGACGTGGCATGGAGTCAAACAGATGTTGAATATCTGCTTGAGGAAGAGAATTCCATATCGCTTGTATGCGCAACCAAAGTTCGTCTTTGGAAACTGCAGGACGCGGATCACGAGTGAGACGCCGACCAACCATATCCCACACGTGCTCAATAGGCGACATATCCGGCGAATAAGCAGGCCAAGGAAGAAGTTGCATGCGTTGTGCTGAACAGAAGTCTCTAACAGTCCGCGCAACATGTGGGCGTGCATTATCCTGCTGAAAGATAGCTCCAGGGATGCCTTGAAGGAAAGGAACGACTTCGGGCTGTAGCACTTCACGGACGTATCTGTTGCTATTGAGATTACCCTCAATTCGTATCAAATTGGATCGTCCATGATACGAAATCGCACCCCAGACCATAACTCCGGGTGTTCGACCACTATGTCGTTCAATAATACACTCAGGAAGGCAGCGTTGACCGGCATAACGTCTAACACGAACACGGCCATCATGGGTCCACAAATTGAAGCGTGATTCATCTGAAAAGACAACTTGGTGCCAATCAGCTCGCCAGTCTCTGTGCTCAAGAGCCCACTGCCGACGCAGCCGTCGATGATCCGCCGTGAGGGGAATCCTGTATAATGGCACCCTTGCACGCAATCCACGGCGCAGCAGACGACGACGAATTGACGAAGCCGACAATTGTACACCTGTAGCAGTAGACCAATGTGCTGCCAGCTGCCTGGAGGAAGCTGTGCGATCATTCACCGCCATGCGGAGCAGGTGTCGATCATCGCGCTCTGACGTCACCTTCTGTCGTCCAGTGCCTGTTTTTCGAGTTGTTCGGTGCTCGTCGGTCCACTGCTTCCAAACTCGCATCACTGTGGAACTGTTCCGCTGCATACGAGCTGCTATTGCGCGATAGGAAAATCCTCCTTCTCGAAGGCCGATTATCCTCCCTCGTTCAAACTCCGTAAGTTGCTTGAATTTCTTATTCTTCCGTCGTGGAGGCATACTCAGGTCTCACTAAACGTTTGCCACTAACAAATAATCATAGACTATTTTCAACGTCCCGCTACAGCACTTTATTTATACGCTTTCAGCATCAATTCAGAGGGCGCTGCGCGCGCCACGCACGCGCGATGGCTCTGAAACTTTATTAATTTGCATAATATCCTATATCCATTATTAAAATAATATTTCATTTGATTCTGATGATTCCTTCATGGTGTTGCATTTTCTACAAACAGCAGTTTAGGAAGGATACAGAAATA